GTCAAATGGATTCTTAGCATGTTAACCAAGGGTGTACTTCAGACAACCTGACTGCCCATACAGCGTTAGAATTTTCCACTAGTCCTGTAGTCCTTGCCAAACTGCACAATACTTATGGTATCACAAGTATGGCATATTTAAGGGTTTTGCTATATCTTATCACTGTAAAGACCAGTGGACTAAAAATGTTAGTTTCTACCACTGCCATACCTTCCCAAAATGCTTTTTTACATTAACATTTTGTGCAAAACTACCCACCAACACAAGTCATCTGTAGAACAAAAGTGCCAAAACATGTGTCATGTGGTAACCATGGCAACCAAATTGTATCGCGGATTTTGACAGTTTGAAAAAAACAAGACACATTGGAATCGCAATGATAACACAACAGTCAAACATAGTGGTTGACTAGACCTGTCTCATTTGAATATGCCTTACTCGGCATTTCATCACTATTCATTTCCTGAAAGTGAGATCAAGTGGATGAAGATGTCAAGTGGAAGTATGTGTGGTGAGGTTATCATCAATCTCCTCTGAATTTGAACACTTTCTCAAAGTTCATACAAATATTTTAACCTGTGTAGATAACTGTTAGAATTGATTATTAGCAACCCATGCTTGCTGTAAGAGGTGACTCAAGGGATCGGCTGGTCAGACTCAGGGACTTGGTTGATGCACATCATTGCGTCCCAATTGCTTAGATCAATGCTCATGATGTCAATCACTGGATTGTCTGGTCCAGACTTATTATTTACAGACGATCATCAAATAGATGGAATATTGCTGTGTGCGGTGTTAAACAACAAACAAATATTTGTCATAAAACATAAATTGAAAATAGAATGGATTATGATTTTTATTAAAAGTTTGTGTCATAATGTTTCTTTCAATTTATGTAAGAACATAATGGATAGAGGTAACAGACTGTTAGAGTATCCAGCGGGAGGTTGTCATTGCCGTTACTCAGCTTAGTGTATTGCCTGACACCCTTTTCTACCTCCCTTGGTCTCAAAGCTCATGATGTCAATCACTGGATTGTCTTGTCCAGACTCGGTTGTTTACAGACGGCAATCATAGAGCTGGAAGCGGTGTTGAACAACAAAGAAACGAAGCAATTCCCCACTAGACAGGTGTCTGCATTACATGCCAAATTAGTTGACACATATCCACCTTCTCCAGTAATCCCAAACTTTCTCATCATGTTTTTTGTTTAACGCCGCACTCTGCAATATTCCAGCTACATGACGGCGATCTGTAGATAATCAAGTCTGGACCAGACAATCCAGTGATGGACATCATGAGCATCAATCCATGCAATTGGGATACGATGACAAGCTACCTTAACAACAATGTTATCAGCAACTCCGGTTTAATGACATCACTTCCTGTTTTGGAAAGCACATGCCCAATGCAGCTTAAGCAGTTGTAGCCACTTTTAACAGTATTCCAGTTATATCACGGCGTGTCTGCTTAAATGTGAGAGGCCCGAAGTGGTGACAGGTCTTAGATGTTTACCACTTCAGTGAAACCGTCCAGCACGGGTATGGTGCTGACAAACCTAGAAACATAATCGGGGCGAACCAGGATTCAAACCCACAAACACTTAAAGGGGAAGTGTACACGCAATAATCACTTTCTTTCTTTTTCTAAACAAAACGCAATTTTAGAATTAGTTAGTATCTGTGTTTGAAAATATACACTCATTTTTTTCACAGTGAAAGTAGGAAGCTCACAATAGTGTGAAAATGATATGCCGTTATGAGGCCTTCGTTTTTCGAGCTAAACAGGCCTGAGTTATCCCCCTTAGATTATGACATAATTGGTGCCAATTCAACTGGGTCCCTGTCTATTCTGAACACAAAAGATATCAAGTACAAGTTTTCGGTAAAACAACATGGCCTACGACACACTCCGGCGTAGTGGTGACTCAGCATAACACTATGCTGGCTGGCATCTGAGACGCTAGAATCACACACCTGTACCTACACCACGTGAAGCGGCTCTAACAAAGCATGATGACGTCATAATGTTTATCAATTGGCACCAATTACGTCATATTGCAAGGGGCATAAGCCATGGTGTTTTTGTTATGGAAATAGAACACTTGGTAAATGTGAAAAATATTAATCGTTTTAATGCGAAACATATGTTAATTAATTGTGATAAAAAGTGGAAAAAGTACAAGAAAATTAGGTTCATTTCCGTGTGAACTTGCCCTTTAAGCAGTTGTAAGCACTTCTGATTGGGGAAAACATGAGCCCAATGCAGATCAACTTTGAACAGAATGTCCTATGCTTGTAGCTACCTTATTAACCAAGCTATAACCTCTTCCAGCATAATAACCCTGACTCACAATCTCAACCATGAACTGTCTGTGTCACCTTGACCAGTGTGCAAAATAGCCCAACTGGCTACTGAAATTTTAACAAGGATTTCTTTCATGCACACCTCTTAGTTGATTACAATTTTTAAGAAGTTCTCCCAAAACTAGATAAAAAAAATAAACTGTAGCATTTTTAAGCTTGTGAAACTTGAAACTGGCTAATCGTTTCTATGGCAAGCTAGCTCACCTGGCCACCAACATATTTCACACACTGACCATCACCTTCAATTTCATCCAATCACATGCAAGAACTTGTTGCAAACTTAGGTAAAGACTCCATACCATGAAAAGAGTACTTTCTGAATTCAAGTATTTACTTCACAAGTCTATCTGAAGTTATTGCTAGATGTGTTGATTTTTTAAGAATCATTCCGAAATGTTGTGAAATTTTAACCATATTTTATCATTTGACCTCAAACAGAAGTGATCCAAAAGTTGATGCATTCGAGACACCACTTAGAGATCATGCATATTAAGTTTCATAAAATTCTATTTATAAATACTCAAATTATTTTGTACACAAGCTTTTTTGACACCGAGTTCATACGGAGTGAACTTGACCTTTAATGTCATCCAATCATATGTCAAAAGCATTCCCCAAGGATATATAGGAGGTTTATCAGGTATGAAGTCTCTAACATCTGTCAGAGCTCTTGGTTGAGAAAACCAATTGCAGTGGGGGTGGAGTATCTCAGATTACAAGCAAACACATAAAGGAGCACATTTCTTCATATCAATCATAAATATGGTAACAACGATAAAATTGGATATTCCACTAATTTCACACATTTTATTGCTGACAAGTGCCACGGCAGGCTTTATTAAATTTCCAAAATGAAAACTTCCTTTGGAAAGGAGAACTGTATTAACAGGCAGACAGTTTGTTTGTTTAATGGCACACTCAGCAATAGTGCAGTCATCCAGTCATAGACATCAAGAGCATCGATCTACGCAATTGGGATACGAAGACATGCATCACCAAGTCAGCGAGCCTGGCCACCCCATCACGTTAGTCACCTCTAACGACAAGTATAGTTGCCTTTTACGGCAAGCATGGGTTGCTGAAGACCTATTCTCTACCCGGATCTTCACGGGTACACTTACATCCCCAGCATCCATTCAGGTGATGTACAACATTTTATTACTATTCAAATTTAAATAATTCTACTAAATGGGTGCCAAAACACAAAAAGAGAATGGTATTTTAAGTTTGCTTCAACTTAAGAGATATTATCAAAGGTTATTTCAAGGGATAATTTCAGAAAATTTCAGCTCCAAGAACCAAGTGGCTTCAGACGACATATGCCCAACATGGTAAGATGGGCTGACAAGTAACTACATACCATGACAAAAACTCACACAAAATGCTGACAGTGTCTTGGTACAAATCAATCGCTCCAATATCAGATTTCTTTTCAAATGCTTTTTTTGTTAGGTGGAATCTTCAGTTTCCTCATGCAGTGGTGCAACTTGCAAAGGTTGAATATGCATCTTTATGTTAAAAAGCACTTCATTCTTGAATCCTTGTCTTCACAGCACGATGATAACTCTATTTCAAGTTAGTGTTAAAACACAATCTTTATTTTTAAGTCATCATTTTCACATAGGTTAGTAAAAGTTTCTCTAAACTAAGTTTCATTCCACAAGTTCAAAATGTAAATCTATTCTACAAAATAAATCTCAATTAATGTCAATGCCTCTGTTAACAAGCTTTGAGTGAGTGAGTGAGTGAGTTGAGGTCAAAACCGCTTTGAACAGTATTTCAGTCCTATTACGGTGGCAGCTTAATGTGAGACAGGAATGACCAAGTAACACAGGTCACAGATGTTTACCATCTTGGTGTGACCCACAAGTACAGGTATGGTGCTGACAGACTCACGATCATAATCTAGAATCCAAACCCACGACAGCGGAGCCTGGCACAGCTAAGGGAGACGACTCCGCACAGTGAATTGCATTGCCTAGACGACCCCAAAAGTATCATGAGAAGAATCAGATTTCTTACAATGTTGTCGACAATAAACATCATAAACATGATAAACGATGACAACCTTATACAGTGCAGATAAACATGATAAACTATGAACAGCTGGCTTCCTTGGTATTCTGGATTAGAATAGTCTAAAGCTACCTATGCTGGGAGAAACTTAATGGATCGAGTGGTCAGGTTAGGTGACATCTAATTGTGTCATCATATCCAGATGATGTCAATCATTGCTTAAAATATCAATCACTGGATTGTCTGTTCCAGATTAAATTACATACAGGCAGCCATCACATAGCTGGAATATTGCTTAGTAAGGCGTAAACAAAAAACATACATAACAGCTGAAATATAGGCATGACAGATAACTGCGGTGACGATGATCACAATGATGCTCAGTCAGCTTGACATGGATAATTTGAAACTTGAAATAAGCTTGCTTCATGGAAGCTAAATAAACCAAATACATGCATGCTGAATAATTTACAGAGAAAATTGTGTTTTAGTACATTAAAGTATTCTTTATCAGTGTTTATACAACATCAAAATCACTGTGCAACAAAAATGGAAATAAAACAAACCAAAACGTATGCCTCTGACATAAAAAGTGCATATACAATACAAATTACTTACTCTCTGTAATCACATGGGCTGCATTAGGAAAGAGGAAAGAAAGGGATTTAATGGTGGTGCATATGTCAACATTGTCAGAGTGAGAAAGTGAGTGACTTGGGTTTAGCGCCGATTTGAACAGTATTCCAGTCATATCATGGCGTGTCTGCTTGATGTGGGAGAAAAGCCTGAAGTAATGCAGGTCTCAGACGTTTTACCACTTTGGTAAAACCCACGAGCATGGGTATGGTGCTGACAAACCAAGAAACATAATCGGGGCAAAACAGGATTCGAACCCACAATCATAGGTTTCCGGTGTGTCTAAGGGAAGCAACTCTGCATAGAAAATTGCATATCCTAAGACGACTCTGACACTCCAGTCCCGTCAACATCGTCAGAGACCATCATAAGAAACATATCATCCTTACTACACTGTAAATATTACAAACTGATGTAAAGTCCACTCTTGACATCTCTAAGTTTACATTATAGTCACAGACATTCAAATATACTTGAAAACATATTATCATAATACCATCTAAACAATCACCATGATCACTCATCAACATGATCAAGTCGACATGGTCAAATCAAACAATGAAACAATATTTTCAATAATTCAGTTGCTATCTTCATGTTCATAATTCATATTATCATGTAATCAGGGTAATAATTCCCTGAACTACAACAAAAATTACATTTCATTTTTTTGGTTATACCAATTGTATATAGAACATAAGATCTTTTATAATTTCACTAAACACTGAATGTTTCACTCCAATCTGAAGGAAAGTAGCAGATTTAGTGTACAGTCGACCTCTCATGAACCAAAGTCAACAGGAAAACAGGTTGCAGTGAAGGGCAACTATACTTTATTCTCAACAGTGACAGGAATATTTACACTTTATGTGCAAGGACAGATCCAAGTAATTATTCAAAACCCAGATACACGAGTATTGTACCAACAAACCAAGGATCATTACTTGAAAGACATTCAGATCCAAACCTAGATCCTGTTCACTGAAGCAGAACCTGTACCACAGAACCATCTGTCACCTCATCATGAGGTCATGGTATGAGTCACTATCAGTGTGGTATGACCACAAGAGTAGGACCTGTCACCCTGGGCCACCCATGGTCCAATCATGAGGCAACATGATGAATCAGGTGATGGTTCTTGGGTGCCGTTGTACAAAGTGATCTTAGGGGCAAGGTGATCATAACTCGCACACCTTACATAGACTTATGAGAGTCGTAGCGCTAAGGGTGTTTTGTACAATGGTACCCAGGCCTCTAGAGTAGAGAATTTACCACTGGACCGTCCGTCCATCCATGAGTCATGACCACAGCCCTGAGTTGCTAAAAAGAATATATACCGTATTCGACGTAATAAGCGCCCAGAGTGCTCTCAAAATTAGAAATAGGGGGCTCTTATTAGAATATTATTTTGGTGGGAAAAAACAGAATTGAAAGATAAATATTGTGGTTTATGCTGACAGCCTGAAATGTTTATATACGACAGATATATTTTTCCAGAATTTAATTGCCCACAATTAAGGGTGCATATAGCACACTAGTGCATATTATACCTGAATAAATAAGTCTTGTGTACATTGATCAATCGGAAGGGGTGCTAATTGGGATTGTTCACTGGCCAATATATTAGCAAGTATCGCCGTGGGCGCTTATTAGAGCGGGGCGCTTATTACGTCGAATACTGTAAGTCCCGAGACAGGTCAGTCCTAATCCAATCTGATGAGTGAGTGAGTGAGTATGGTTTTACGCCGCTTTTAGCAATATTCCAGCAATATCACGGCAGGGGACACCAGAAATGGGCTTCACACATTGTACCCATGTCGGGAATCGAACCTGGGTCTTTGGCGTGACGAGCGAACGCTTTAACCACTAGGCTTCCCGACCGTCCCCCTATCTGATGAAATAGAACCTGTAACTTAATGTAACAGATAAGTCCTTTGAGTTTGTTCAAAAACACAAATACACTAACTTACTCCAACATATTTGTTTACAGGGAGATAGCAAATACTTTTCTTCACATAGTATACTCTGGTGATGCTGGTCTCAGATGTTTATCAGTTTGGCGAAAACAACGAGCACGGGTATGGCGCTGACAAGCCAATAATGATAATCACCATCAGGGTGAATCTGGATTTGAATCAATGATCACAGGAGTCTGGCACCTCTAAGGGACACAACTCTTAAAAAAGGCAAAACAAAACGTCTCAAAGCTGGTTCAAATTAAATGTTGGAGGACTGAATTTACTAAATAGGTCATAAAATATTATCTGTTTTTTAGCACCTTTGTAATTTTGTGTTTAAGCCTAAGGCTTAAATTTGAAGAAAATAGTATTATAAGAATGAGTGAAACCCATAATTACTCCCTCAACTCTAATATTCTTATATTTGCATTCCTGTTATTTATCATGTGTATATTCTAGGGCTGAGACAAGTCCAAATTTATTACCCGGATGCCCTTCACCTATTACCAACCCTACCCGGGTACCGCTGTTGGTCTCAAGAGATAGGTACAAAATGTCCGATTGGGAACAGTTTAACTGTAGCCCTGGACAAAATGTATTTAGATACATATATAAATCGATCTGGTCATGCATACACTGACGTTGACAGAAGTTTTATCTTTATTCAAACATATAAAAATAAAAGTCTGGGTGCATAGTCAGAAAGTAATGCGAACATGAGTGACTTGTAGTGTAATCATATAGTTCAAGATCATTTTTGTCATCAAACAATATATCAAAAGACCAACCACGGGTCCTCGTAGTTCTGTGGGTACCCGGGTCCTTCTCAGTACTCACCCGACCCCGGTACCCGAGTTACCCATCCCGGCCCTAGTATATTCAGTGGGACATTGATCCTACCTGTTCTCCATTGAATGTCTAACATCACACAAGCATAGGAAAAAGTGAACCTCATCTACCTCTATCACTTCTACAGTCAGATCCAATTTTTAACTGATAATACTCAATCACATTAAAACACACCCTGTTTATTCACTTCCTGGTATTGAACTACCCTGAGTCACAGCAAGATTTAGCAGAAAAATCGCTTGGTTGATAGAGACTTAAACATTACAGGAACAGTGAAAGATTTCCAATTATTTGGTGGGTATTTCTCTTCCCTATCGGTACCTTCATGAGGTTTGGTATAGTCACAGGCTCTGCTGGTAATCAATAAGACATATTCTAAAATGACATGTTTCATATAGTCATGATGGAGAAGCCTAGAGTTCAAGTTCTACATGTACCGTATTCAACGTAATACGCCCCCACGGCGATATTTGCTAATATTTTGACAAGTGAACAATCCCAATTAGCACCCCTTCCGATTGATCAATGTACACAAGACTTATTCATTCGCGTATAATACGCACTTGTGTGTTATATGCACCCTTAATAATGGGCAATTAAATTCTGGAATAATATATCTGTCGTATATAAACATTTCAGGCTGTCAGAATAAACCATGAAATTTATCTTTCAACACTGTTTTTTTCACCCAAATAATATTCCAATAAGAGCCCCCTATTTCTAATTTTGAGAGCGCACTGGGGGCTTATTACGTCGAATACGGTATTATGTATCACAGGCATTCAGCCTAAGCATGCCAGGGGCAGTCGGGTAGCCTTGTGGTTAAAGCGTTTGCTCATCAAACCGAAGACCGGGTTCGATTCCCGACATGGTTACAATGTGTGAAGCCCATTTCTGGTGTCCCCTGTTGTAATATTGCTGGAATATTTCTAAAATATTTTACAACATATTACCGCCATTTTGGTAATGGATGTGCATGATCGTCTTCCTCAGTTACGGTATCTAAGTTTTTCAGATGCCATTTTTGGCGTCTTACTAAAATAACATGGGGTTTGTGGGGCTTGCCATGGAACAGCTTGAAATGAATGCTTTCCTGAACATAGTAAGTACATGTAATTATTAATTACCAAAGTTACTACTCATACTGTGTTTGTTGAAATCTGGCCCCTATAGATGTCATCGAACTTCGAGTTCTTTTTGGATGTTGATGTCTAATTTTTTATGTTTATAGATTGTTAAACCATATAAATGCAAACGGAGTAATTTTTCTGCTTATTTGCCTTATTTTTCAACCAAGTCAGCGAGCCTGACCACCCAATCCCGATAGTCGCCTCTTACGACAAGCATGGGTTGCTGAAGACCTATTCTACCCCGGATCTTTACGGGTCCCCTTGCATGAGAACAAAAAATGAAAACTACAGGAAATATTAATCCATTTCACATATACATGACATGGTTAGGATAATTAACAGTTTAAACATGTTAAATAGCGTATGTACAAGATGTAATTCTATTCAACAGATGAATATTCCAATAAACACAATATTATCCAAGACGATTTCACATTAAGTAATCTGAAACAAGAGTCATCACTCAGGAGATGACATATTTGGCTACTTGTACCCAACTTTTGATTCACTGCCACTGGATACCTTCAGTTCAGATAAAAAGTAAAAATCCCAAATCATCAAAAGGCACGAGTTCGCCACGAGACTGATCTAGATAGCAAGTTTCAACAAGAAATATTTAACAGTTTTGGAGTTCCACTCAGAAAACGGAAAACAACTTGTTTTCATCATGAAAAATCATGAAAACAAAACAAAATGAATGGATAAAAAATCCCAAATAATCAAACAGCCCCAGCTCCCAACTAGCCTGGTCTAGGTTAAACAAGAACTATTTAACTGGGGGGATAACGATGGGGTTTTCATTAACTTCTTTTGAGTTGCATACTTCTGATCATAGTAGCATCAATAGTAAACTTCGCTGTCTGAAAGGGATGATCCAAGAAAAGGTTCCTAATTCCTGGAAAACAGCAAGAAGGAAATGCATCTGTTGTGTCACATTCACCAAACATTTTCAGGGTTCTACGTCACTTGTATTGAGTGTCAATAGCACAGTCATCGTGAAGTGAAGATCCAGGGTAGAATAGGTCTTCAGCAACCCATGCTTGCTGCAAAAGGCTACTATGCT